GTCATGAAGACTTTTTGATTTTAATCCCAATTTCCCAAACAGTGGATGTTGTTTATAAGACAAAATTGTTTGTATGTTACTGCCTAACGCCCAAAGCTCTGGAACAAGCTGGGGTAGCCACAGCAGGGTTCCTTTTTAAGCATTAAATCAACGTGTTACATCTGTCGAAATCCTGGGGAGCCACAGGCAGTGATGCCAAATTCTAGAGGCTGAACTCAGCAGGAGCTGTGTGGAAAACTTGTGCATTTAGAATCAAAGTTTGGTTTATTAGCTGTCACCCTCTGGAAATGCTTTGGAGACGCTTCAGTCAAAACCCAGAAACCATGAAGTTTCCATCCGTCTTCTTCCCATTATATTTCTGATATAGTAGATGATCTGAAAAACCCTGCATAAAACCTTATTGCTGACACTGATGAGTGGGAGCGTTGATCTAATATGTGTCCTTGAAAGCACAGATGATCTTAGCGTTGTTGTTGTTGTAATTATAAAGAAGAAAGTTTCTAGCTCTTTTCTCTGTGCTGAAAATAAGAAAGTATTGTGAATTGAGTGCTAGGCCTGAAATGAATAAGCAGCTGCAGCAGGAGCCTTGTGAATGGGTGAGCAGCGATCATTCCTCACACCCAAGTACACATGCTATTAATGTAAAACAAGCTGGCTAAGTGTGAGGGATAGCCCAAACAATCACCTTGCTAATCTTCTTCAAACTCCTCAGGTCAGCCTTGCCCAGAGTGTTGTGATCATGGTGCATGGGGACTCAGTTATGTTGGGGAAGGCTGGTTTACCAAAAAATCCTAAAGCCAGCTCTGCTTGGTAATATGTTCAGTCATGTCTGATGCTGGGGCAGAGCTGGCTACTGTACATTCAGGCCCCCATTAAGCAAAGCACTGAAGCATGTGCTTAAATCCCATTGATTCTCACATGCTTATGTGTTTTGCCGGATTGGAGCTTCATAGGTAAATGGCTCCTAGCCCTTGCGCAAATGGGGAGAGGGGTAGGAAACCGTGAGGATAACCCCAGTTTGTAATCCCAGCATGCTGTGGTTACACTGTGTGCCTTGGACAGATCACAGCCTACCGCAATGTCCCTATTTCTAAAATGGAAATAACTCTTGCCTATCTCACAGGGGTGCTGGAAGGATTAATTAGTTAATGGTTGCACAGTCCATTGGCAATGTAAAGCCCTAATTAGTTGTGATTGTAAAGCTTTTGTAATTAGGAATTTTTGGTTAACAGGTGTGATAGCAGTGTGTTTTTCTGCGGCAGTGCAAGCTAATGGTATGAAACAGAGGGCATAATATATTGGCACAGCAAACAGGTTTACAAGCTACATATACTGTGGTGTAATGATGCCTGGGAGTCACTGGATATTACTGTGACTTCTGTTTATTGAGAGATCTGCCATATAAAGAAATGCTTCCAAAAGCCAGCTGTTGAGGAAGTCAAGCATGGTGTATGTGTCCCTCCTCTTTATCACTGTGCTATGCTGTAATGGTTAGTGGCAGGAGCACAGGACTTTTGCGAAGCTCAGCAGTTTTGGGTCATTCAACATTTCTTTGATTTTGCTTTGATTTGCATTGGTCCTTGCCCCTGATGTTCCACTGTCCTTTTCAGGTTTGAACCAATCTGCAAACTCAGCCCAAACCACTGAGCTCTTCCTGGTTAAACTCCAAGCCATTAATATCTTTCCATCAGTCTCCTCTTCAGTGAGAAAGCATCCCCCAATCCAACAAAGTCAGAGGCTAGAAACCCCTTTCCACAAGCAATATCTCTTACTGAAAGTGACAGGCTCCCCATCTTCTAGGGAGGGGGTAGCCACCCAGAGGCCATTAGCACCATATTGTTCATGCAACCAGCAGGCTTCCCCTACTCCTGGGTTCTGTCAGAATATGTCAACTGGCTCTCTCCCTGTATCCTGGGTCCCCTATTGAACGAGAAGGTAGGAGTCTGGCAGCTCTGAGTGGAAAAGGAAGGTGCATTGAGAAGGCCGGGTCTTTAGCAGGCTGGATATCTTTCAGGGGGAGGAGAAATCTTTTCCCATGAAAACCTGATGTGTCTGTCAGCAGATGAGACTTGGGAGCAAGTCATGGGAGGAAACTGAGAAAGGGAGGGACAGAGGCAGAGCGGTGACGGTGTGAGAGGCACCTAGCAGAGGAGGCTAGCAGGATGTGTGTCAGGGAGCCATGTCCAGGCTCAGGGGTGGGAGGTTCCGTGGCAGTTGGGAGGCAGCCAGTCTGGGGGAGAGCCATGTTGTCGGTTGGGAGCCTCCATGCCCCGGCGCCTTGAAGGAAGCTGCTTCAGGAAAATGGACTGCGCCTAACCACTGCGCTGTGCCTTCCTAGTCCTGCCGCTCTGGCTGCCTGAGTCACCTCTAGAGTGTCCTGCTGGTGTTGGAACCTGGACAGCCCAGTAAGCGCCTGCTGATGCTGTTTCCCCATGTGGGCCTTCAAACCTACAGCTGGGACGAGGGTAAAGGGAGATGAGGGAGCGACTGAAGCTGCTGGTGCCACAACCCTGCCTTGGAGGTGGTGCAGGGGGCCATTATTCCTCAGGAGGCACAATGCCTCCCCGAGCAGCTCCCAGCGTGTGGGGAGAGAGGGCACAGACTGCTGCTGCTCCCCAGGCAGTGCCCACCGCCCTTGCAGCTGGCTAGCGGCACTAGCCCTAAGGGCTAATCGTAAAGCCCAGGGACTGTACTCATGGCTGGAGCCCGTTCAGGTGGAAAAGCCACCCCCTGGCCCATGTTGGCTTTTTTAACAAGAGGGTTAACTTCACAGCCCGCAAAGTGTTAGTTAGTCTGGGCATTGCTGTCCTGAGGGACTAAGTGACAAATGTGTCCCAGTGCCGATCCAGTGTGTTAGGCAGAGGCTGATAAAACACTAGCTCAACATATTGCCAGCTGCAGGGGACCCTGACTCAGAGTTAAATGTGGCCTACCACTCTTCAGGGCACTGACTGTAACTTGCCCCTGGTAGTTCACATTCAGGAGACTATGTGCTCCCAGTGGATTTCTGACCTCTCCCCGTATAGTGCAAACAGGACATAAGGCTGGGATTTTTCAGAGGGGTTTTAGGTAGTGCTGACTGGAAAATATTGAAATATGGGGAGAAAAAGCATAAATACGTTAAATTTTTCCAAGGAAAATGTTTTGAGTTTACAGCGAAAAGTCAAAAACTGAAATAACTTGGTCAGGACATGCCATTATAGTGCCTCATGGAATATTGGGTACCTCATGCTCTGATTCTCATCTATAAATTGGGCTACCTGGTTGGATTACATTTCCTATGATGTGCCATGGTCTCACCTCATTCTGACGGCAGTCAATTGCATCATAGGAGTGCCTGGCTGTGGTGCATTATGGGAGCTATAAAATTTGGCTGAGGAGACCAGCCCATAGAAAAGAAAAGGGACGTGAGGAAAATGAACTTCAAAAACCCATAAGGTCTGGTGGCAGACCATTTCTGATGAGCTATTTCAGTTTTTGGATGTTTGTTTTTGTGATGAAAAATAAAAAATTTTCACAAGTAGGCACTTTTCATACAAAGTTTTGTTTTGTCACCCCGCAATTTTCCATTGAAAAACAGTTTTGACAGAAATTTTTCAATCACACCAACTCCTTATTGACTTTTCCAGTATTGCCAGTCCCAAGCACTGAAAAATCATACACCTCATTCCCCAAGATCAGGGCTAATGCAGTACAGAAAAAGATTCGCTATGAGAACTGATGTGGAAAGGTTCAGTAGTGTTCTCAGACAGTGCTGTCTGTTAAATGCAAGGAGTTATCTCTGTGAGTAGCATTTCCCTCTCATATGTCCCTGGAATCTATTGGTGCACAGTCTAATTGTATTCTTGTGAAGTAGTGGTTCTCAACCCGGGGTACATGCACCCCTGGGTGTACGCAGAGGTCTTCCAGGGGGTACAGCAACTCATCTAGATATTTGCCTAGTTTTACAACAGGCTACATAAAAAGCACTAGCAAAGTCAGTACAAACTAAAATTTCATACAGACAATGACTTATTTATACTGCTCCAGATACTATACACTGAAACGTAAGTACAATATTTATATTCCAGTTGATTTATTTCATATGGTAAAAATGAGAAAGTAAGCAATTTTTCAGTAATACTGTTCTATGACACTTTTGTATTTTTATGTCTGATTTTTTGTAAGCAAGTAGTTTTTAAGTGAGGTGAAACTTGGGGGTACACAAGACAAATCAGACTCTTGAAAGGGGTACAGTAGTCTGGAAAGGTTGAGAGCCACTGTTATAAAGGATCTTCCACAGAGCCCCAGTGGGAGGAACAATGATACAAATCTACATCTCTTTCCCTTCCATGCCCCACTCAGAGTGAACTGACAGATCTAAGGTCATCTGAGCTCAGAATCAGAGAGGACAATCCACACCTATGTGCAAATTTCAGAGTAACAGCCGTGTTAGTCTGTATTCGCAAAAAGAAAAGGAGTACTTGTGGCACCTTAGAGACTAACCAATTTATTTGAGCATGAGCTTTCGTGAGCTACAGCTCACTTCATCACACGTGAGCTACAGCTCACGAAAGCTCATGCTCAAATAAATTGGTTAGTCTCTAAGGTGCCACAAGTACTCCTTTTCTTTTTACCTATATGCAAAGGTACAAATTCAGCCCTGGTGGATTCAATGGAGTGGCACCTGCTAACCCCAGATTTGAATATGACCCATTGACTTCCGTGGAATTGCAGTCACATATGTGAGAGCAGGACTGGGTCCTTAATTTATTTTCAAAATCTAGCAGTGTTAAAGGTAATAGCTTTGTGTACAAAGAGGAAAAAATTGGAATTTCATATGTTTCTGCTTTCAAGAGCAGAATGTATCCAGCGTGATCAAATATATGTTGTGTACTAAAATATATAGGCATACACTGAATAATATTATTCAGTACATACTATCCCACTGTGTTCTAGATTTTATTTTGGTTTCTTACCTACCTGATGCATTGTTTTTATTAAAAGGAGGAAAAGCGACAATGAAAACCCGGAATTTACCAAAGGTACTAGCTTGGTATTGGAGAATCTTTCCAAGATTTTTTTTTCTCTTAGTGCTTTTCATCACATTGTTTGCCATTATTTGGAGCCAGAACAAAGAAGAGTGTAACTGCTTAAAAATGGGAAAGCCTGGATTAACGTCATTTCACGTAGGTAACAAAAGGAATGAGGCACAAATTCATTTAGAATAAGGTTATTTGTTATTGGTGGAATATATACAATGAGTTGATAAAATCTCCCAAAAGGGGAGGAGGTTCTGAACAGCTATTTCAGAAAAAAAAATGCATATAAATCTATTTAATGAAAAATTCTGAATCTTTGACAAGACACTGCATTGTAAGTTTTCCAATGATGCAAACATTTTTCAGCAGTTAAAAAAATATGTAGACCTTTAATGGCAGTAGTGACTTGCAATACTCATGCTGAAAAAGGCCCTTTCCACTATAGGGAAGAGAGCTTTGGCAGTACTGACCAAGTAGATTCCTCTCCTTGAAATTTGTCATAACAGAACTCAGGCTGACTTTTGTCGCCATTATTCCTTGAATTTTAAAAAAAAAAGTCTGACGTTTGTTTAGGCTGATCAGGTCTGCAAAACCATGGTTCATATATTTTGGATCCTCCAGCCCTGATGCTTTGCAGTGTCTTGGGAGCTTATCTGTGCATGAGAGTGTCTGTGTGTCTGTGGAAGAGTGGGGAATAGAGGAAAAATTAGGTTACTTAACTAGTAATGAGGATTAATTAGCTAATGTCTGCAAAGCGCTTTGAAGATGAAAAGCACTATATGAGTGCTAAATACTATTAAGTAATTAAAGTTCTTTGATTGCCTGCTGGTTGATGGGATAACAGCAGTCCTTTCCACCCCACCCCACCTTGTCTTGCTTGTGTTTCACTATTAATCTGACCTTGTTTCTGTTTGACTGTGCAGTGTTCACTACCAACAGACACTTATCAGAGTGCCAACTCTAATCTGTCACAGAATCAGAGGTGCTGGTAGGGCCATGGGTATGTTAAAGAGGGGTTTGCATTCAGGTCCACATTCCAAATATGAAACTTTCTAAGTCAAAACTGTGCCCAAAGATCAGGTTTGTACACACTATGAAAGAGTCCCCTGAGTCTTCTTGTCCAGATGGTGAGGGAACCTGACCACACCCAGTTATTTATACTGGGTGTCTTCAGTTCAGTCAGGCCCCAGCTCTTTACAATTTGCAAGGGGCCCTGGCCATTTGCAGATCTTAAGTCTTTCTGGTTTACCCTGGGAGTTTGTTGCACTTTCCATAGGGCTGAGATGAAGGGCTCCCAGCTGGAAGTTCCTTCTGTGGCTCCAGAAGACCCTCCAGCAGTCTCCTGCTCCATTCCCCCAGATTACTTCATTTTCCTCCCTTTTAAAGGCTCCCTCCCAATCATACATGACTGACAGGTCCGGAGGAGTGGGGATAGCCCTGTCCCCAGGACCTGTCTGGCACCCTCCTCACCAGTGTGTGGTCTATTCACCCTGTAGCACACACCCGTAGACCAGGGTGAAATAGTGCACTGTGTTATGGCTGACACAGTGACACTGTTCAGTGAGAAAATTTTCAGAGTTGCAGTGGGTGCCGAGGAGGAAAAAAAGCGAACATGGTATTGGTCTTCAAATGCAGAAAGATGAGGGAACCTGGCAACTCTTAGCTAGTAAGTTTAACATTAAGCACTAGTGAAATAACTGAACTACTATCTAGAGCCAAAACTCACAAAACACCTATAGGAGAATGGAACCATGAGCAATAAACAACGTGAAGTTATAAAAAACAAATCTTGTCAGACAAACCCACATTTATTTCAACAGAATTATGAAATTCTGGGTGATGGGAATAAGATAGATATAATCCATTTGGAGTTTATTAAAGCATAGTTGCTTTCATAATCTTACTCCTTATTAATTCAAATAGGCTTGGATATAAACACTATCATATGGGATGGAAAGTCACAGAAGTTCTGAAAACAAAGGCTAATGATAGGCAGCAACGTATTGGAGTCGGGGAGAGTGTTTAATGGAGTGCTGCTGGGACAGGTCATGCCCTGTCTTATTTAACATCTCGTTGATAACCTGAAAGAGGGAATAAACAGCAAATTGTTAAACTTCCTAGATATATTAAATTCAGCAGTGTTGCTACAGGGCGAGAAATAATCCAAAGAATGTTAAAGGGTTGGTAAAAGGAAAGAATATACTGTTGTGTTGTTGACAATCTTGTGGGATTTTACCTAAAATAAATATAAATGACTGGTACGCAGTATCTGCATAATTTCCTTGTATTTCCCTGTATCCACAATAAGAAATAATATAAATACTGAGGTGAGCTACCTATAAATTTTATTTAACTATCTGAGTCCATTGGCAAGTTTTATGTCCTGCCCCAAAATGAGAAAAAAGAAAAGGAGTACTTGTGGCACTTTAGAGACTAACCAATTTATTTGAGCATGAGCTTTTGTGAGCTAATGAGAGTCATCTTGGAGAAGTGAGTTAATGCACTTGAGGAAAAATAATCCAAAACACAGGTGTTCAGTGGAGAGAAACCTGAAAAGCAGTAATGCACAGCCGTAGGGGTGATTGTGGACAGCAAATTGGATATGAGATTACAGTGTATAAAGCAGCAAAAACTCTGAATGAAAATTTGGTCTACATGTGCAGGGTAGTCTTTGCTAGTAGTTACAGCAGAGGTTTGGAAGACAGGTCTCCTGGGTTTTATTCCCAGTTCTGTCACAGCTCCCTATGCACTCTAGCACAGGGGTTCTCAACTGTTTTCTTTCTAACCCCCCTCCCCCTATGCTATAAAAACTCCATGGCCCAGCACAATAACTGGACAATAACTGTTTTTTTGCATTTAAAAGGCAGGGCGGCATTAGGGAATAGCAAGCAGGGCAATTTCCAGGGGCCCCACACCACAGGAGCCCGCACAAAGCTACATTACTCAGGCCTCGGCTTCATCATCAGGTGGCAGAGCTCAGGCCCTCAGGCTTCAGCCCCATGTGGTGGGGCTTTGGCTTTCTGCCCTGAGCCTCACGTGAGTCTAATGCTGGTCCTGCTTGACAGACCCCCTGAAACCTGCTTGGGGCCCCCTGGGGGCCCTGGACCTCAGGTTGATAACCACCGCCCTAGCACAGGTCATGTAACTTCTCTGGACCCTCAGTTTACTTATAGGCAAAACAGGTCTAATAATAGATACATCACAGAGGAGTTTGTGAGGCTTAACTTGCTAATATTGTATTTGTTAATTAGCCTGGAATTCTGGGATACTTGTTCTCTAAGTTAAGAATTCTGCTAGGGATTTTTGAGAAGTTGCATTTAATTTAAAGAAGAAAAAAAACCACTCATCATAGAGAGCATAAAGCTTTTGCTAATGCGTATTATTCCCTCTCTATAAATATCTGTGAGGAAAAGGATTCTAACAGCACTTTTCTGTGCCCTGGTTCCCACTGCTGTACCTTGCTATAATACAAAAATACATAAATAGCAATAATAATGTCCTTCACGTATTGGAGCATTGGCAGATTGAGAGGTATAAAACAGACCAATGTATAGGAACAATACTGTATATATTGTATGCTGTAGCTTGCATCAGTCTCACATATTATAAAGTAACAGTATTTTGTTTTTAAGGCCACAGCTGGACAGGCGGCGACGGCTGGCTTGGAGGCTCCTGTTTGTGAGATGCCACAAAATCAAAATTTTACTGTAAAAGAAAGTGTGATAGACCCTTTACCGATTCCATATGAATATCTCTTAGGCTCTCATCCTACTAAAAAAAGTGAGTGTTGATTGCAAGATGGACTCTGGTCAGCCCAGTCCCTTGTAGTTATATTCAGAACAAAAGTATTAACATGCGGTGCAAGCAAATTATCAAAATAACAAATGACCTTAAAAAGTAAGAGATCTGAGAGGTGAAATCACCCAGGTTTCCCTGAAACATCACAAGCCACAAAACAGGGAGAATTCCATCTCTGTTTTGGTCCAAAGAAACTCTGCCCACCAAATCTCTCCAGCACTATAGCAACATAATAATACTGGCCCCAATTCAAGGTACTTAACCACATGCTTCATTTTAAATATGTGAGTAATCTCACTTATTTCAGTGGGACTACTCACAGTCTTAAAGTTAGGAATGTGCTTAGTATCTTACTGAATCAGGGCCACTATGATATCAGACCAATGAAACATTGGTTTTTCATCCGTGAGGAAAAACATAATGTAAGTTCTGGAGTTTCCCCTTAAATAAGAGCAGAATTTGGCCTATTCTTCCTAGCAGCTTCTGAAATTAATCTTTTAATGGGTGTCATGTACACCATGTTTGTTACTTTCCTCTTTTTCACCTAAAACTACCAGTAAACAATGTACATATGGATATCCAGTACCACTGCATGTAAGTGCGTGTTGGAACAATCAAGAGTAAGGTGCTGATCTTGCAAGCAGCTCCACATGGCAGGAACTCCTGGGAGGGGATGGTTGGAGCACTCCCTGGACTGAGGCTGGGGAAGAGCAGGGTGTAGGGGCTCATGCACCATGGAGTCAGGCTAGTGGTGGGCTGGGGCAATGGCCAGTTTTTCTGCCTCTTGGAGGTAGCAGCCTTATTTGGACCCTGACGAGGTTTGGCCCTAGTGCCCCTGGAGATGTGGGCCAAATTTAAGTGAGTGGCATTGCAGCCTGGCACATGGGGTCACAGCACTGCTCAGGTTTGGCATCCTAGGCAGCTGGGCCTCTTCTCAACACTCCTACCAGATGGCCATGGTGTAAGAGGAGGAGGGCTTCTGGGAGAGGTCAGGTTTCTCAGGTCACTTTTTGTGGTTCAGCTCATCCTTGACTTGTTCTTCCTCCTTGCTAGTGTCATGAGCCATCAGAGCCACAGTGTCCTCTTTGGAGTACTGGTGGCTGGCCACGAAGGCCACCCTTCTTCCCATGGGGAAAAGAATCAGCTTTCCTTTCAGCTCACTTGCCTGCCCAATCACCCAGTGCCTCAGAGACAGTCCCCTATTTGTATTGATTCAGATCAAACTTGTGTCCAGAGCCAGCTGAGACTCGGTGCCCCTTTTTCTTTGGAGCTGGTAAAGTTCCTCTCTTAGTCCTGCCTGTTTTTCAAAAGGTAGCAAGGCATCTCTGGCTTAGGTATCCAATGTACTAATGTACTGGCTCTTTTCTGATTTTTACGGTCTCCAGCAAGTTCTGCTTTTGGCAGGAACCCTCCCCCCCATAGCTGGAGAGCCAGCTGGACATGGTCAAGTTCATTTGTAAGTCACATTTCAGAAAGACACCCAAGCATGTAGCCTACTTAGCAAACATTTCCCAGAACAAAAGAAGAGAGTGTGGGTATTAGATTTTTTAAAGCATCTAATTGGCATGCATATGTAAACTAAATATTCTAGATATATTAATATTAAACATATTTCACATTAGATTTTTAAAAAAGTTTTGTCTGAACTTTCCCTGATGGTTTAGAATAATTATCTTATCTGGAGATTTTGAGAAAGTCCTGGTGGCAGATCTGTGAAAGGTGAAAGTTGGATAAGTTGTTATTCCTGATGTCCAGTACAGTGAAAAAAACAATGCTAAATCCTATGGTGACCTGGGGTTCTGAAGGCTACATTTTGGTCAACAGTAAAAGGAAGCAACCAAATCTCACTGCTCTACCATGTTATTTGTACTTGGCTGGCACAGGCATTCATTTTAGTACCAGGGAACTGAGTTCAAACTTGTATGCATGTGCCCTGAGCTGCAAATTTCCACTCCCGGACTAGGCACTGAATCTAGGGTCTTACACTGAAATCAATCAGTGTAAGCGGGAAATGACTGTGATACAGGGTACTTTCTCCCTGATTCTCAGATGTATATATCTATCGCTCTAGATATACACATTTACATTTATAATCACTAGAGTCTTAGCACAATGCTCAGCTCACTGATTACATATTATGCAGTTACACAAATAATTAATAAATGGAGATGTTCTGATATTTACAGACTGTATATCACATGCTCTAGCTAGTTTAAGGAAGGTGTGTGTGTGTGTGTGTGGGAAATTTCCATAGTGCACAGGGCCCTAAAATTCTTTAATTTGGCCCTGCATATTTCACTGAGCAATTGGAACTACTATGGGAAAACACAGGCCCAAACCAGCAAAACTATAATTTCACATGACTCTGCCTCTAGTTCACCAGAGTAGGAACAGTTCATAGAAGGAAAAAAAGAGATCATATAAATTATTTCTGTTTTTACCTTTTGTAGGATATTTGTCAATTGGGATTTCCTCCATCCACCGGAAGAATAAATACTATCTAATGAGAACAATTGAGTCCATTTTTAGTCAGTCCAGCCCAGAGGAGTTAAAAGGGATAGTCTTAGTTGTCTATCTAGCAAACAATGATTCTACTCTAAATAAGCAAACAGCCAAGGAGATTAAAGATGGATTTAGTTCATATATTGATGAAGGAACTCTTCTTGTTATATGCAGCTCTCTAGCCAGTTATCCTTCTTTACGAGGTCTGCAAAGGAACTTCTGGGATAAAGATGAAAGCGTCCGGCACAGATCAAAACAGAATGTGGACTATGCTTTTTTAGTTAATTTTTGTGCCAGCCTCTCACATTATTATCTGATGTTGGAAGATGATGTGGTTTGTGCCAATGGTTTCCTTTCCATAATACAACAATTCATACGTGAACGGATGGAACCCTGGACCACAGTAGCCTTTTCCACATTGGGCTATATAGGGAAACTCTATCACAATGAAGATCTTCCCAAACTGGCACGATTCCTGTTGCTGTTCTATGACATAATGCCCTGTGACTGGCTCTTAGAACTTTTCCACCAATCCAAAGCTCAGAAAGAAATCATTACCTTCAGACCTTCTCTTTTTCAGCACATTGGCAGAATTTCATCTTTTCACACTATGGAAACTATATTCAAAGATCCAGAGTTCCAAGAAGATTTTGGAGATTTTGGAGACTTCCCTGCTGTCTCCTGTTACACAGACATACCAGTGTTTGATGATTATGTGCCTGAGGAAGTTTGTCCACCTGGCAAAGGTGTCTTTTGGGGAAGGAATGTAACAACAGGAAGCTCCTTTACCATTGTTTTTGAAACACCAATAATTCTCCAGAAGCTTCAGATTTATACAGGATCAGTTGAATACAACCGGGACATTCTGTATTCTGGTTACGTGGAACTGGGCACAGTGAAAATAAAGGAAAATGATAATGCAACATGCAAGATCTTCAGGAGAGCAGGAGATTTTCGCAATGGAAAATTTGAATTGGACAACTTTGGTCAAGTTATGGAGGAGCAGATTCACTGCCTTCGAATACAGGTAACTGTCACACAAAAGGAATGGCTGATAATAAGGAAAATAAATATTTGGGTCAAAAAGGGTTAATGGGTTAAAACTCAGGTTCTGTTTTGCCCCTTCTGTTTAAAAATGGGAAGGAAATCCATATTACACATCACCTTGTACTACTCACTATGTAACAAAAGCAATTTTGTTATTGGTTAATGAAAAACAAATGACTTGGGAGGCATTTCTAGTTGAAATAAGCAAAATAAAACTCTAATACAATACATTAAATTTTTTCTCCCACAATGCAGTTGTGTCTATGAAAGGTCATTGGTAATAGAACTTGTATGCCCACTCTTTAAGTAGGATTCATCACCTATGTGGTGGTCATGAACACTTAGGCTGTGTTTACACTAGCACTTACTGCGGTGTATCTTATGTCGCTCAGGGGTGTGAAAAAGCCACCCACCTGAGCGACATAAATTACACCAACCTAAGCACTGGTGTAGACAGTGCTATGTTGGTAGGAGAGCTTCTCCAGTCAACATAGCTATTGTTGCTTGCAGGGCTGGAGTAATTAAGCCGACAGGAGAACTCTCTCCATTTGGCTTCGAGTGGTTACATTAGAGAGCTTACAGCACCACAACTGCATCACTGCAGCTCCGCTGCTGTAAACTCTAGTGTAGCCATAACCTTAGGGTTATATTTAGGTGTATATCTGCCTAAATCTAGGTTCTCTGTTCAGCTGTTGCCTAACCCTGTAGATGTCTCTCAAAAACAGGATACATAAGGGCGCCATGAAATAAGGAGGCAAACTTCTGCTTAGTCCCAAAACATAAATGTCTTAATTGTTTAAATGTAATTACTGACTCATCAGCATTCATGCATCCACTCATTCCCACACATCCTCACAACAATGAGGTCATTGTGACACTGGGAAAATATCGCTAAAAGGTGGAAGCAGAGTCTAGGACAAGTGGATAACCTTACCTTAATAGCCTTTCGCCTACAAACCAGAAAGCTGCTTTCAATATCCCTTAGAAATGCTAATTTTTTATTAAACATTTGGCCAACTAAAGTTACTCAAGCATAAATCCAAATATGGCCTATGTTCCATACACCACATCTGCACAGGAAGTCACAGACCCTACACCAAAGAGATTGCATTCTATCCATATCTATACCCTTTTTGTGTTGGGAGGAAGAAAAGAGCATGCTTAACATATATGTGTATATGAATCTGTGTACACATATGTGTATATGAATGTCTCTCAATGGAAATGCAACAGAATTGTGGTGACACTTTTCCACACTCCTTTTTTTGTGTGTGTACTATGCTTGTACAGTAGAGGGCACCAAAGCTTCATTAGCTGGCCTTCACAAACTGACCTTTTTTTCTGATGATGCTGACAATTTCATGCATGCCATTTAATTATACGTGCACAAACTCTACCTAAAATACATGTAAAATCAATCCCAGGAAAAAAGAAATTAAGCACTAGTTGCTTAATAAAGTAGCTACTGTTAACACTGGTGATGTTATGTTTATACTCTGTATATTAAATATATAATACATCAACTTTCCTACTGATAACAATCTAGCAGAGTAAACTCATGACTCATAGGTGTGATGGATACAAAAACTTTAATTCATGGTTAACATCACACCCACAAATTGGAAACTGAAGGAAACAATCCAACTTACCACCTGGGATGAAGTGAACGCTGTAGTTTCACAGTTCCTTATCTTCAAGGTGCTCAATAGTATAGACCCAAGATACCTAAAAGATCACCTAACACTCCTGAAAGAAGACCATCGCTGGCAATTTTACTCCTCTAGCACAATGGAACTTTCTAGCATAAGGGTAAAGCTTGTCTGTGCAGGAAACAGCTGTCTGAGAGGCAGGTCCAAGATTGTGGAATGAATTCCCACAGGAACTAAGGACCACACAAGAGCAAGGGGCTAAGGCACAGCTCTGGGCCCAGGGGATCCCACCCAATCACATCTGCAAAGCCTGTACAAGCAGGAGGCGGGGCTTAAAAGAGGAAGGAGAGCCACTCACATGGGGGTAGACAGTGGAAGGGAGCAGACTGAGGTGGTTCACTTGGAGGTGGAGAACTTGTTGCCTGAGGCCTGACAAGGCAGACTTGAGCAAACATACAAAGAAGAGGCAGGTGACTGACTGTGCAGGTGAGCGACTTTATTTGAGGTTCTTTGATTTACTCTGTGGGAAGGAGACTTAAGTAGAAAGTGGTCTGGGGTGTGTGTGTGTGGCTGCTTACCAGCTCACGGTGCAGGGTGTAGCTACCCACCACTGGGGCCTGGACTGGAAACTGGTGGAGAGGGTGGGCCTGGGCTCCCCTACATGCTCCAAGAAAATGTGATAACAACAGGAGCCTTCACCCTGGAGGAAAACCCTGCTGGGGAAAATGGCTGTTCACAGGCCCAGACCCCAAAGTCTCTGAAACCTGTATTAAAGAGAAACCCTTGGTGGTGGGGTGGGGGTGGGGTGAAAATACAGGACTGTATTTTCAATAGGGAGATGACCTGACACACCCTGCCTGACTGCTAGGTGGCACTGTTGGTGGTCATTCTCCTTCCCCAGACTGTCACAAATCTCACCACCTTCTGCTCCAAGTGCAAGGTTCCTTTTTGACCTGCATTCTCCAATATAAATATATAGCTTGGGGTGGGAGTGGGGGCGGGTGGTGAGAGAGAGAGAGATACTAGTGATGAGAGCAGTACAAGAACCCGATTAGAATAGAGATATTTCAGTGGGGTTTGAAAACCAAGGTCTCAATAGCCAGTGTGGACTGAACAAGATAGAGGCTTTGGCCTGCGTGGCGCTCTCTGTACATCTCTGCTCAAGAGAGAAAAAGAGGAACTGTATAGAAAAAGTGACTGGACCATCCCTAGGAGACAATGGCCACAGCTAGAGCTTTTCTTGTCTTGTTTTACCCTGGAATAGAAATTTACCTTATCATTTCTGGTGGTTGCAAGTGTGTCTGTTATCAGGATGCCAAAAGCTGATGGAGGTCTTGAATAGGTCCTCATTCAGATGCCATTCTTCTTAACAAAAAATTAAACCATGGATGGTGGAAACTTCAATTTAAATGTATTTATCCAGATCTCATACATTGCTACACTTTTTACAGTGACCCTTGCCTATCAAAAGCCCTTTCTGAGCCTCAATTCTGCAGGATGCCAAGCACCGTCAACTCCCAGTGAAATCCACATGAACACTCAACTCCTTACAGTAGCACTCTACTCTTTACAGGATCAAGCCTTTCACTGACAGACAGCCACATGCTGTAATCACACAGGCAGAATACACGAAGGTGGATGCTTTATCTGTGGATTGTCCTTAAGCATTTCCAGCTCCCATGAGAAGAGACAGCTTTGCTTCTTGAAGGGTTTTGAACTTAGTTTGTTGAGGGGGAAAGCACTATATTCACCCATGTCCTATTTGTTAACAAAATTGTACACATAACTTGCTCATAGCTTTGAAAATGTTTCCTTTAATATAGATTAAAAGCATGTGAGTCTCTTGCTGAGTGCCAGAGGCTCTGGAAACCCTGTACTTGGTGGCTTGTAAAATTATTTCCCTTCAAAAGAATTTTCCTGTGTACTGATTGCAAAAGGAAAGAAAAGAGAGTAAAGTAATGCTAATGGGATTTTGAGTCACTCCCTAGTTCCACTGTACATTTCTATTCATTCTGCATACTGCTTACGCAGCACTGCCCTGATCACACAAACCCTGCTTTCAAACAGAGCCAGCCCATTGTTTCAGCACATCTGGGCTGCCTGCTGAACAGCTACCGTCCAACATACACTGAAGACCACCCCACTGAAGCATCACCCATGGACATGTAACCACTAAAAGATGGCAATCCTTGAAAGAATAATCACAGCTATCACTGCCTCATCAGCAATGGGCTGATGCTATCTTGTCAATCCTGGGAATGATGCTCCAGGGGGAATAACAAGGTGGCAGCCATCTTCTCAAAAGAGAAAAGATGGTCTTGTGGTTAAAGCACTAGACAGGGTTTCGGGCCAATCTGTGTTTTGTGCAACCTTGGGCAGGTCATTTGGGGGGGGGGGGAAGGGTTTTAAAGGAAAAAAATGAGATTTAAGAGCCTAATGCCAATTGATTTGAGTGCTGAAATGCCCTCTGTGCCTATGAAAATCTCCCCCTTAATTTCTGTGCCTCATCTCCCCATCTGTAAAATGGGATAATACTAGCTTTCTCCTACCTTTTGTTTAGTTACTAAACTCTTCTGGACTGGAGCTGTCCCTTGCTACATGTTTATACAGTGCTTAGCACAATGGGACCCTGATCTTGGTTGGGTCTCTCGGCTCTTCTGAAATAAAAATACTATAATAGTACTTGAGCTACCTGCAAGTCCCCAACACCTCCATCTGTAAATCACATTCAGCCCAGCTCCCTTTGTATAGGAAATGCTACATCTTAGAAAATGTCTGGCTACATTACTCAACATAATTGTAACTAACAATAGTTGATATAAGACCAGAGCAAGCTGCTTCCTGGGTTTAAAAGGTTTCACTTAATATACTTGTCAGCCAAATCCTGCATCAGGCAGAGCTCCTGGAACTGCCATTGAACACTATGAGAGTTCTGTAGATATCTATATCAGGCTTTGACACAATGAACATTACTTTACTACTTAAGTGCCAAGCTGAAGGTACACTGCACCTCTCGCTATGTGGGCCAATGTGTATAAGAATATCACTGTCAAACACCCCTGATCACAGAACCTGTTTCCAGAAGGCTTCATGTAACTAATGTGGGCTGAAATCTGAATAACTACACATTCTTCTGAATAAGTGAATGATCAGACTTGAACTTCTCCTAGAGTAGGAGGACTTGAGGATTCTGCTGTATAGCTTTATATAGCTGCTCTGCAGATCCCATTGAAACCTATGGCAAGGGCCCCAAATTTCTTTGGATTAAGCCTTTCAAAAAGGTCGTTTTTCTATATTTTTAATAAGGGCTTTGTTTTACTTCAGATGCCACACAGCTTATGCTTGTTCCTCTCTCAAGCTAGATTGCCAGGGGCTCTCTCTCCTGCGCCTCTTATTT